GCGGCCACGATGGTGATGGTCAGACTTTCGCCGGCTTTTGTGGTGGTGGCGGCGACTGCTGTGAGGTGGGTGTGGGGACGGTGGTGGTGGTGCTGGTGAAGCGGTGCTGTCTGGCTTGTCTGTTGCAGGTTGGGGAGGTGCAGTAGCTGGTGGGGCGGATGCAATGGATGGTGATGGAGAAGGTTGGGAGCCAGTGCCTGACGTGGTGACGTTGGGGACTGGTGCTGGGGGGTCGGATGGTGCCGGTTGCGGAAGTGGTGGCTGAGCTGGTGGTGAGTCGCTGATGGCCAATGGAGGCGGTGGTGGAGGCAAAGGTTGCGGTGAAGGTTGTGTGACTGGGGGTAATGCTGAATAGGGTTGCCAAACTCCCTGGGGCATAGGCCACTGTGGGTCTGTGGGAGGATGATGAGCAATTGTTGCCTGTTGTGGTGCGGGAGGTGACTGGATCGCTGTGGTGTTGGTAGGGTCGGTGGGTGGTGTGTGATGCAGTTGTAGTACCAGGTAAGAAGGAGGAGGCGCTGGTGATGGAAAAGCTGGGGGTGGGTGTGTAGGTTGTGGTGGCGGTTGAGATGGTTGCACAAATTGCCCAGGCGGAGGGAGCGCCATAGGACATCGTGGTAGGACTTGGAATAGGCATGGTAGGCGGAGCCTGATAGGGTTGTGGTTGCGGAAAAGGATACGCCGAGGGATGTGGTGAAGGAAAAGTGGGTGCGGTATGTGGCTGCGGCAGCGGCAATGTCGGCTGTGGTTGCGTAATGGGTAGTGGTGGTGGAGTAGCGTGGGAATACGGCCAGGGAAAATGCATGTTGTGGTCAACGGTGTTGGTTGTGAAACTTCAGCGCGGTGCAATAGAGGCTTCTGAATGGCACGGCGCAGCGCAGCAGCAGTGGTGCGGCTGAGATTGCAAAAATGTTGTTGTCATGGTGATGTTGAGAGTCGCAGTGCTCATTTTGAAAGGAAGTATGCTGTGAAGGTGAGCTTGATGTGACAGGTAAAATTGTTGTAATGTGTAATGTGTGGTCGTGCATCTCGAATTAGAGAACTCCACTGACGGAAAGGTCACGGCACAGATCCAAGTCAAATCATGTAACAAACTCACGCAAGACTGATCTGAAGGTTTGTGAAAGAGAGAGCTGCCGTGTTTGGGCCCGGCGGCCAGTGCAGCAGTTGATTCTATGGGTGTGTCAATGACTTCCCGTGGAAATCCGGTGAAAGGTGGTATGTTGGGGTGGATGCTTTCCGATGCAAGAACAGCGCCCCTGTGACGGGGATCACACTCAGCACCCGAGTGGGACGGCTGAGCGAAACACACTCTGACATTGGTTCTCAGTGACTCTGTTACCACGTTGAGAAGGAAGGTGGTGGAACGGCAAGGTGAATGAGTCCGGTGACTTGAATTGTTGAAAAAATGTTTCACTCGCGCGGCTAGCTGCAATGCACAAGCGGCTGAAAACTGCGGTGGGAAACCTGTTTGTGGGGAAGGTATCGTGCGAAACCACCATGAATCAAATCGAAAGTGGAAAAGCTTGAGCAACAGTTTCTGGTGCAGGTACGTCAGCAAGCGTCCTTGCTGATATCAGCACATCCTGAAGAGCCTCTTTGTTAGATGCCCTCTCTTCAGGTGTGGGGCATCCCCCTGCTGGTGAGTCGGTGGTGAAACACGTGGAAAGTGAATCGGTTGGAAGAAACCCTTTGTCCAGGGGTGGACACACACAGACACGCACACACACGCCTCTCCGAGGGGAGGCAAGATTGAAACCAACACCACGGTGAGGAGATCCATTTTTCTAAGCTCCGGACTGTCTGGGAGTCAGGACAGTGAGAATCTCACAGAAACAGGGCTGTCAGGGGTAGGCGGAGTTGGCCGATCGCGCAGCAAGGGTGTGAAGAGGGTGGGGATAGGGGACGCCGCGACGGGAGTACTCATCAATGTAGCCGATAGGACGAACTCGCCTCGAGTTGATGAACCAGATCTTCGAGAGAGCAAGTATAAGACCCACCAATGAGGAGCGAGTGAAAAATGTAAGGTGAGAATGTGGGAAAGGAATGTCAACGAATAGATAACCCCATGATGCGATCGAGGGAATGTAATCTTGTTCTGTTTTGACCTGGCAGTTAGCAGTTATAGTCAATAGCGGGAAGGGAGAGCTCAGTAGATCATCATCAGGACGTAGGTCTGTCCGGATCTGAGGTACATAGTCGTTGTAGTTCAAGAAGATCAGCCCAACGGGCTTGAATCTGAGATATCGGTCTGTGCATCTTGTGGGCGATGTATTTCCAACTGGGTCGTAGTCTATCGTTGCACTTGAGGCTGAGAAGAAGTTCATCATCTTGACAACTCCTATCGTCAACCTACGTCGTTTCGGAAGGAGGGTGAGGGGAGCGTGAGGAGGATGAAGGAGTGTGGGAGAGCGAGAGCGCTTCCGGGCAGGGCGAGGAGGGGGCGGAGAGGAGAGAGAGGAGGGAGACGGGGGAAGATCAGCTTCAGCTGAGAGGAGGCTCGGGATCTCCGAGGTTAATATTGAAGCGTTGTGACCAAAGCAGGTAAAGGATATGTGGAGAGGAAGCGTGACTGCGGAGGGTTTGGAAAGCGTATAGTAACTATAGTACTTCTCCTTGGTGTCACTGCCCAGTCGATGTAGTAGGTGAAGTACGTCTGAAGCTCGAAGAAGGTGAAGATCAAGAAGGCATGGGTGGTTGAGTTGCGGGTGGTGGTGTTGTTGGTAGGAGATCTCCGCACGTGGTCATAATGTCCGGGCAGAACTCCGACAAAATAACTGCGTGGTGGTAGTAGGCGCAGGCGCGGCGCCAAACTCGTAGCGCAGGTTCAAAGTAGGCAGCGATGCCGCTGAGAAGTTGGCGGAACTTTTGCACATCTCGCGGTCGAACAAGGTGAGGATGCAGCTGGCGATGTAGTAGGCTGCGCGGTTTGGATGGAAACGGAGATCAGATAGATCACACAAGGATGTAGGTAGTCTGTGAGATGTAACACTCACGATCCCCTTACCGTCCAAGCCGACCAGCGGACCGGCGGACCGGCGGACCAGCGGACCGGCGGACCAGCGGACCAGCGGACCAGCGGACCGGCGAACCGGCGGACCAGCGACCAGCGGACCAGCGGACCAGCGGACCCGCGGACCGGCGGACCGGCGGACCGGCCCAGCGGACCGGCGGACCGGCGGACCGGCGGACCAGCGGACCGGCGAACTGGCGAACTGGCGGACCAGCGGACCAGCGGACCAGCGGACCAGCGGACCGGCGGACCAGCGGACCGGCGGACCGGCGGACCGGCGGACCGGCGGACCGGGGCGGACCGGCGGACCCGCGGACCGGCGGACCAGCGGACCGGCGGACCAGCAGGCTGGCGAACCAGCTTCCGCGGACCAGCGGAGCAGCGACCAGCGGACGAGCGGACCAGCAGAGCAGGCAACGACCAGCGGATAGCGGCTAAGCGGACCAGCGGGCGCCAGCGCTTGACATAGAGTCCCACCCTTCCCACCCTTGCCTGCGCCACCAACAGGCCAGCGGACCAGCGGAGATAATCATGGTGGTGGTGATGGGTGTTGTGGTTGTTGTTCTTGTTGTTTTTGCTGCTACTACTGTTTCAGCCCGGGACACTCAATGCGTCCTTGGTCAGGCTTCGCCTTGCTGCTTCGCCGCGTGGCGTTTGGAGGCGCGGTGGGAGTTTCGTCTGGCTGTACTAATGAAGTCAATCGCTTTGCCAACAGCTTGCTGCCTGTGTCGCCCATGGCATGAGCCTTTTCACTTGGCCGCATCGTCTTCTTTCATCCTCAAGCTGCTGGCCTTGTCTCTTGATTTCTTTCATCGGCGCATGATCCTGGACATGCGTTTCAGGCATAAAAACCGGCTAAATGCTATAGTGGTCAAATCCCTCTACCGGAGCTAAATCCCAAGCTTTGGCTGGCTTCACTTGCGACGTAGTTCAATGTGTGACCTGTGGCCTTTTGCTTGCGTGAGCGAAGGCAACGAGGAAAAAACACAAACAAAAACAACATGTTTTTAACTGACCATGTTGTGGATTAAAAAAGGGCTTTTGGGGCGCACTCTCCAAAAAAACCCTGCCCTGCAGCTTTCCATGTCAAGCAACGCTCCCCGCGCGGGTCACGAAGGCCTGCTAAACCAAACGATGATATGGGTTGAATCTTTTTTTGAAGCCAAAATTCAAGTTCGAGTGAGAAGTTGGTGGTAGATGTTGCTCTTGGAGGCGATGTCGAAGATGCCAGAGGCATGACAATTTCTTTGTCATTGTCGGCAAGCTGTATCTTTCCAGTGTTTGTTCCTTTGCACTTGAAGGAGCAAAGACTGGTACAGGAGAAAAGACAGGGAATATATAATATAGACATATACATTGTCTTAATTTCGGTGTGTTGTTGGTCTGGAACCAGGGGCTCGCCGAGTTTCCACCTTTCTCCCCTTTTTTTGCAGGGGAAACGGGAAGGCCCATCGCATAAGGTGGCAGGTGCTGAGGAGCATCTGCTTGAGAAGTACATTGACTGTGACAATTTTTAGCGGGCTTTCAGGAGAAACAAGATGCTGGCTCTAAGCAGGTGCATGTTTGTGGTGTCCTTCCTTCTGTTTGTGGATTGTGTGTCGCCTGTGTTAAGATTAGGTGTGTTAAAACTATGCAAAACTGGCTCAAGGCAGGCTCAAGATTTTGAAGGTCTGAAAAACTGGCCCTCAGTCAACGTTGGTGATATTACATCAACCAACGCCAACTTAAGTTGCTCAAAATCTTGCCTTCCCCTACCCACCCTCTGGGGGTTTTAGCTCTGGAATGCCTGTATCGTAGATTTTTAACCCTGAAATGTATGTCCAGGATTGCAACCGCGGTCGAAAACATGACTTGCAAACATCTACCGTGCTTCTGCTTTTGAACCAGCATGCAAGTATGCAAGTTGCCATTGCAAGCGCGAGACCCGCAAGCCACCCTGCTATCAGCAAACATCAATCTAGCATTTTCTTTTTTTCATGCAGCTGCAATGACGAATCCGCAGCATCAGTGCCATGGGGTCCTTGCGCAGGCCATTTGTGACGCTGACCCGGCTGCGCAAATTTCGCCAGAACTAGTCCATCATTTGGCGACCAGATTAGAACCGCTCTTCAACCAAAGGGTTGCTGTTTTCGGCCGGGAAAGCAGAGCTCAAGAATTGGTGCCGCAGCTTGTTGCTTGCCCTGGGTGCGGAGGACGACTTGCTGAATGTCGGAGCTATCGTCGTAGATCTGTCGGGTTTGGTCCAGAAACAACACATTCCACTGAGATGTCGGCGATCCTCCTGTCCAGACTTTGGTGTGCTGCTGTGGTACAACTATACCGTGCGGAGTGGGTGCCATCATTTTGCAGGAGAGCTACCTGAGTTGAACTGCTTCATGTTGTCCGCCACCTTCGGCTTCAGTGTCCCCTGGTTGCAACAGTTTCACGTACGCATGGTGAGGCAACATGCGTCTTTCACAAGTGAAGCAGATGTGCTCGGCGCGCAGGCAGCTTACAATTCCCAGCTCCATCTCTTACCAACAGCTCGATTGCGGCTTCTCATTAGCCAGGGGTGGTTTGCTTGGCGTCTCCTCACCCGGGTGCACCAAAGCAATTTGGACCTAGCATCTTTTGATTTCTTGCGGCCCATGGAGGACATGATTGGCTTATTCTTGCCGCAGTTGCAAAGAGAATTTGGCACGACTACCTTGGAGGAAGCCCAAAAAGCCACGATGCGCTGTGACGTTGTTGTGCTCGATGGCAATGCAAAAAATCGCCGAGCTGTTTGCGGAGCCTCATTGGCCGGAGAAACTTTTTCCAAGGAATTGCGCCGGGTGGTCCGCCACAACTGTGCCAATACTCCCGCTTTTCGGAGATGCTTCTGTCCCGCCCATTGCAGTCAAGATGATCAATTCCAGGCGGGGGGGCAAAGCATTTCCAACCGCAAAAATGGGTAAAGTTTTTCTTTTTCAGCCACTCTGCCTCAGGAAGTGACCATTCTTCAGCACAAGCTCATCAATGACGGACAGTGCTTGATGGTCTTGCTGAAAGAGACTGTGGAGCCTCAAAGAGAAGCTTGGGTATCCGATTCTGCAGTTCCAGCGTCTGTCCTGTCCAACTATTTGCAGCAAGTGGGCGAGGCGAAGTTGAAACCGAGCAAACACCCACGGCGAGAAGAGGAGGCAGACGGCAGAGGCGGCTCTTCCTCATCGCTTGGACCTTCGATGCTTGCGAGTTTAACGTTGCAAGAGATTGGGCGCTCGTCCGACCCAACAGATTTGCAGTGCGTGACTTGCTGCACACACAAGGAAGGCAGCGCTGCTCAAAGGCAGCTTGCCAAATCTGCTGGAATGTTGTGCGCGTGTTTGTCTGAGGGTTTGATTTTGCACATGCAAGAAATCTACGGCTGTGAGTCGTTGAGCCAGAGATACCTATGTCTGGCGTCTGTGAAAGCCCTCTTGCCGTCCCTTCGCGTGGTGGTCCACGATGATGCTTGCCATTTGCACAAGTACGCGGCTCGTCGCGCCCAGGACGGAAACTCAAAGGGGACGACAAAGCCACGAAATTCTTTGGGCAGTGAGAGCTATAAGCACCGTGCTAGTGTTCTGTTGTTTCTTGCGTGAATGCGTTTCACGTTTTATATTGCCCATGCGCAGGATTCAGAAGCTGCTGCCCAGATAGCCCCGCCAGAGATGAAGTACGTGTGCGACAAGTTCCACATGGCTGGCCATACCGATGCTTGGTGTAAAGAGACGTGCGACCCAGCCTTGCCTGCAAACGCTTCTCTTCTTCAAGGCATTCGGACTTCGGTCTGTGAATTCACTTTTACCTGGTTGAGTAAGTACAAACACCAAACCAAGCACATGAACAAGCACGGCTTCCAATTCTTCTTGCTCGATATGGCGTGGAGCCACAATGAAATTATACTCCAAGGAGGCTACAGACCAGAGGAGGTCGCCGGCTCTGCGGCATTGGAAGGGACCGACTGACAGTCTAAAGTTAAGATTTAGGATTTCAAGCGCGGCCTGTGCCTTATAGACTGGATCGAAGCTGTGGAATGGAAAACTCATGGTGTGTCGTACCCGCTCATTGCATCGACCTGTTGCTTCAAACGGCTACATATCACGCGGTACATGACTCTGTCAGTGCGCATGTGCAGATGCCTTGCTTTGAAACCAAACTGTTTTGCGTAGCTTCGACTAAGTCTGACTAAAGTGTTCCAACAAAGCCTTGCATGATGGCCGTGACAGCCGCGTCTGCTCTGAGCTCGGTGGCGCGGCCAAGCCATGTCGTCAGTTCTGGGGCCCTTGTCTGGAGCCCACGAAGACAGACAGTACATCCCTGCCATGATTTTGATGTGGGATGAAGTGGACAAGTGCTTCGACCCAAGCTACATCCTTGGAGAAGCTGGGCACCGCTTCTGCCAAACATACGCTGTTAGGGCAGCCCATGCAGAACTTCCTTACGCCCTCCACTGCTTGTCGCTGATGTGTGCTCTTGTGAACGGTGCCAAAGTGGCTGTCTTTGCTACCTCGCCATCGCCTTTGACGTTGGTTGCAATTAATGTCAACTACGCCCAGACGAGAAAATCATCCTTGACAGGACATGCAGAGGCTTGTGGGCAGGAGTTGGACGCAGTCATCTTGACGAACGCGGAGTCCAAGCTGGCGACATATTGTGTGGAAGAAGGCGCTCCTGCGCCAGTGCAGCACAGGTGTGAGCGGGCTGTTGAAACAGGGGGCTGGGAAGTTTTAGGTGTTGAATTCTAACCAAAAACGAGCCCGCCTTTTGTGCCAGGTTGAAGCCGAAGCTATTCTCCGCAATGGTTGCCCGCGCAACACCTGAGGAGTGGTTCCATCGATGCTCGGGCGATTGGAACCAGGTCCGAAATGCTGACAAGTTGCCCGGAGACTGGTCTGGCCGATGCTGGTTTGGCTTGCTGGGGAATTTTGATGAGGCCTACGACTTCCTGCTCAGCTTGGGTCTCTTGTCCGATGGGCCTGCATCCAAGGAGAAAGCCAAGGCAAGGGTGAACCCGTACCAGAGTGCCTTCAACAAGCTCTTGCAGTTTGGAACCAGCGCTCGCGCCACGAAAACGAATGGGAGCTATGGAGAGAAGCTTGCTAGAACTGTTAGCGTGGGGATCACTTGCAATATGCACCCTGCGCAATACATCCCTATGGAAAGAGGTGAGGTTGGTTGCCACGCAGCTTCCACCAAAGAACGGTTTGTCATCTCCACTGGCCGCCCTGTGCAGCCGCATGAAGACATGCCGGCAGATTTCTGTTGCCCTCCAGGACAGGTGTTCTGCGCGATGGGTGTTGTGTTAAAGCGTTTTAGATTCTGTAAAATCTGCTCACATTCTTTGCTGGATTTGCTTTGCGCAGGGGTTTCCCGGCACCGATGGGTTCCTCTCACAGCCGAAATTGCGGAACTGCTGGGCATAGCCAAAGAGGCTGCTTCGCCAGATGCTGCTGCTCAGGAGTGGAAAGACGTTGGCCTTGAAGATGAAAAAGCAGTGCAGCTCACCCAGAATGCAGCGGGCGACTATGTCCCATCAGAAGATGGGTACCCTGTGAGGCTCTTGGATGGCAAGATGAGCCGCCTACGGTTCAAACGTTCTCCTGCGTCGACCTCTGGGTTTGAAGCTCAGTGGCGCGTTGCCAACCTTACTTTTATATAGTGGTATTTTTGTATTTTTTCTTGGCTGCTTTTGACTGTTTTCATGGGAAGTGAAAGAGCTGCAAAAACGAGAATAGAAAATAACTTTCAAACATTTTTGTGGTGACTGAACCGCAAAAAACACTAAAAGGCAAAGATGCACGCCATCATTATGTTTCATCAGTTCCTCCTCCCAAATGGCCAAATGGTTTGATTCCTGTGATCACATTTTCCCCTTCAGGTGTGTGTGCTATCTTGGTCTTGTTGAAAATCTTTCACTTACACATACATGGGATGAAAATAAAATTCAATAGCTTCCACGAGAATGCTCACATGAGAAAACGAGACTTGAAAATAGCGCAGGGCTAGTCATTTTGCACTTGCACTGCTCCCTCATTCACGCACGCACAGGCTGCCGCCAGTGGCCGGAGCAGCCACATGGCGACAGTCTGTGGGAAACCTAGTTTAATTAGCATTGCTTGCCACACTTTAATTTAAAGAGCCCAGTCTTCAGATTGCAAGTGGTTGCGCACCCAGCTGCGACCTGCCTCTAAATAAGCTCCATGAGAATGTGTGTAGCAAGTCTGTGGGCCTGTGGCCATTGGCTTTTGCTCAAGCAGTTGTATTTTTGCAAGAGTTTCCAAGGGTGATAAGACTTGAGCAGTTTCTGTTGAACCAAATGAGCTGTTTCGCCACAACCCTTTCCATTATTGCCATCATCATGGAAAAACTGCGCGTTTTGACGTCGCAGCATTGCAATGTGAAATTCAACTAAAATTCACGTTTTGAAGGACGCTTTCCCTTGGGCCAAACCATTCAATTATCCTTTACTTGCAACTTGCGAACTTAAGCACACATGACTGACCTCAATTATCAACCCAGACCCAGACACCTAATAATTTTTCCGCACCAGCAAGTTTCAAAAAACGCTGGCCGAAGCAGCCAGCAGACGGTGTTGGCCCTGGCCGAAGCAGCCAAAGGCCACTCACCCCTCGTCCAAAGGATCCCAAACATCCTCCTCGAATGCCTCTTCCTCCTCTTCATTGTCGTCGTCATCTGCCTGCTCTGCCTCGAGACGCGGCTTTTTCGACTTGGGCTCTGACTTTGCCTCCGCCTTTGGTTTTCCCTTAGGCTTGGGAGCTGGCTTTGGCTTGGGAGCCGACTTTACCTTTGGCTTGGGGCGTGGCTTGCGCTTCGGGATCGCTGGCTGCGATGAAGAAGTCGTTGACCCCACAGCTTGCGCATAGGCACTGTTGAACAATGGCGAGGCAGTCTCCTTCACGCTCACCTTCATTAGGTCCAGGAGCCGTTCTTCCATCAGCTTGACATGGGCGTCAATGTAGCAGATGCCCATGTACGCAGTCCTAGTCTTGACGCATGCCCACGCCAACTTTCCATCAGCTGGGCTCAAGTCCAGCACCAGCTTGGCATAGAAGGTGTGCAGGAGCTCCTCCATCAGCTCAAGCGGTGGCGAGAAAAAGCAAACAGGCTCGGGCAAATCTTTGGTTCGGTCGTTGATTTTTGGCTCATCCTCTCCACCTTCTGTGCGCCCGCCCACCGCGATCAAGTGGCGCTTGCCATACAGATCCTTTTTCTCCGACCACTTCATGCTCCATTCATCAGTGAGCTTAGGAAGGGCCACGCCCTGAATAAGGTCACCTGTTGAGCTGCCAACATAATGGAGTCTTGGCCGTTGTGGAGTAGCTTAGCCGAAGCAGCTAAAGCTTTCAAACTTGCTTCACTTGAGTGAAAAACGGCTGCAAACGAGCAATTTGAAGTCTGAGAAGAGAGGGCAAATCGCCCTCTTCTTTCGAGGTTCAAGAACGTTCCCGAGCCTCGGGTGGAGAGGGCAGTGAGGGGACAACTATGGGCAAAACTATATTATATAGTGGTATTTTTGTTTCGCCCTCTCAAAACCCTCTCCTTTCGAGGTTCAAGAACGTTCCCGAAGCTCGGGTGGAGAGGTCAAACCGCCCTCTCCTTTCAAGCGCTGTCGTCGATTTTTTCACCTTCGAGCTGAGAAGTCAGCTCGCGCCTTGCCCGCTTCCAACTTTCTAAGGTTTTTAATTAGCAAGCCCCGGCCGAAGCAGCCAGTGACTTAACCTCAAGCCTACAACAAACCCTGCAACCTTGGCCGAAGCAGCCAATGGAAGTAACGGCTGCTGCGACGAAGTTAGCCCGGCCTGCTCTTTTTGGAAAGGCGTGCTGCAGCCTTAGGCCACACGATCCCACTTTTGAAGCTGCCAGTCTTCAAATAAAGGGAGTCAGGTGCGATCTGCACTGCAAAGGCAAAATCCCCAAACCAAGTCTCCAACATAGTGTCCCAGTCGAAGCGGTCGTGAGTCGTCCGACTTTGTGACAATGCTGCCATCACTTCAGTAGCGTGCCAAAAGTCATTTTTGACATAGTTATTCAATGCCAGTGTCTTGCCTGGCGCACGCGCAGGAAGAGCAGTCATGATTCTGTGCTTTGGTCGCGAGTGAAGGTCGGACAACGCGATTGTGGTGCAAATATCCAAAGCAAAAACAATGTCTTCCAACGCATCCGCTGCTTCTTCAGGCAATTGTTGCCAAGTCCAGAGTAGGGCATTTCTTGTGCGTTCCACCCGGTCAAGGACTTGGAACAAAGGAAAAGCCAGAAGCAACCTCTGACGGCTCCATGGTTGCAAAGTGCAGAAACTGAGTTTCTTCGTGTGAACTTTTCTCAGCGCGACTTGTCACAGGCATGAGCGCTGCAAAGGAGCTAGCCATTGAACTCTTTTAAGTGTTAACTACTTAGCCTCAAATTTGAGCCCCAAGCTGAAAGCAAACACTATACCGAGCTGGACATGGATGACGACTTGACTGAAGTTAGGAAAACCAGGGCTTTGGTGCAAAACTTGGATTGTTTTCCCCATAGCTGACCTTAGTTGACTCACTGCTAAAAAAGCTTCTGGCCGCATCAGCCAGGAAGCTGACCTTAGTCGACTCACTGCCAAAATAGCTTCTGGCCGCATCAGCCAGGAAGCCAAGCAGCCAAGCGTAGTGCCACCCATTGAGAGTTTGCGAGCCTTGGTACGCGCATGTTTGTTTAAGTTCTCATGCTGCAGGGAGCCTGCCTCTCTGACAGCATACATAGCGAACTTACTGCTGCATTTGCTGAAGCTGCATGCTTTGCAACCAATGCCCCACGGTTGCTCTTGGTCTGACAGCCATGACCCACCTTCAGGATCATGTGGGCTCAAAACAGAAACTCATGAGTCCACTTGTCGCATAAGCGCTTCCATTTCTTGTATGCAGAATCCTTCTCACATAGCGTCATGACAAGTGCACAGGCCTTGGCCGAAGCAGCCAAAGGCCTGGGCACCTGGGGCGACGCACCCTGAAGTTACACTAGGTGAGATTAATGGCCCAAAGGAGCAACGAGCAAGCCAAATATCTTCACAAATGTGAAAAATAATTTTCTTGTGCGTAGACGAGGAATGTGGAAGGCTCAAACGAGTTTGAGGTGCTCATTGAAAAGTTAGAGCTTTGAAACAGCAACCACATTCCAAAAACGGTGCAGTTAATGATAGATTATTAATATCTAGCGTGTGTTACTTGATTTGCCTCTGTGCGCTGCTGCTTAGGTGAAGCATGACATGAACACATTTCTTCAAAGGTAAACGAGAATTGAAAATTGATTTTGCATCCAAATTGACTTTTTTAGTTTTGAGGGAAAAACGGTCAAAAAAATACAAAAATACCACTATATTAAATAAAAGCAAGCAACAGAAGCTTTGCCAATCCAGCAGAGTGCTCCCTGACGGCCGCTGTCTCCCGAGTCACTGCCTACTTCGACCAACCTCACCAAGTCATTGCCCTCACTCCGGAGGCGGAGTCTTGGCACATGTCCTACCAAGGCGGAATGAATGTGCAAGCCCATCTGTCTCGCGAATCAGGGGATGTTCAGGGCGGCGCTCGCTTTGGAGCCGCTCCGTGGCAAGTGGGAGTTTTGGCGGCTTTGCTCCTGGTGTTTGAAATCTTTGTGGGTGCGCACAGTGTTGAAGCTCTTGGACGGAGGGATTTGCAGGTCACTCCAGATCATTGCCAAAGGGCCTATGCTCTGCTCCAATTGGTTTCTTGGCACTTTGTTTCTTGTTTGTTTATTTTCAAAAAGCTATATTCGTGAATTCAGGTCCAGAAGCTGAAGCATATTGCTTTGGGAGATGCAGCCGCTAGCCCAGACCATTTTCCCCAGCAGCCAAGTCCGCAACCTGCGTTCGATTTGGCAACTTTGCGTGTTCCTGATCAGACGGAAGATTTTGCTTCGACCCAGCATGGTCCCGGACTTCGGCTTCCCCAAGCTGGCGAGGAAGAAGAATTTGAACTTGAACCTGAAGAAGAAGATGCGGAACCTGGGCCCAACTCGCTTGAAAGGCCCCCAGACAGCGTGGCCGAAGTCGTGGAGGACCTACCGCCCCAAGATCCACCCGCAGGCGAAAAGCCGCTGGTTCTTGATGAAGTGCGGGCAAGTGATTTTGGTTTTGGCGAGAATGGCGTCACAGTCCAGCCTGACGGTCTCTTCAGCCGTCACTGGACAGACCGGGCAATCCTGAAGCACACCTTGCTGATCGGCAAGCCAAAGATGACTCGCAAAGAAGCGTGTGACAAAATGCGCACCAGCAGGGAACAGGGCCGCCGCAAAGCGCTTCCGAAAGAGAAATGGACAGCGGTCATGGCGGCAGCCGCAGAGCAGCATTCCAGCATCCTTCAGCTCCAGGGTGAGACTTTGTGTTTGAAAGTGATCCCAGACACAGCGCAGGGCAAGGTGAAGTACCACAATGACTTGATGAGGGCTTGTGGGCTGACTTTGCGGGAGCTGGTGGCCGCCATGGAGAAAGCATCCAGCAACCAGGAAAGGAAGCGCCAGGAAGATCGGCGCAAACGGCCCAGAGATGAGGAGTGAGCCGTTGTGTAGATATACACAGTCGCTAAGGAAGTGTGAAAAGAGCTCATCCGCAGGTGTTTGGTTGTTCAGGTGCAGGCAGCCAAGTGGGTCCTGCAGAACCTGCGTGAAACCAATCCACCCGTAGGTATTCCACCCGCCGAGCCCTTCCCAGAATTTGGTCATGACAATCTAGATCCGAACTTGTCTCCCTTAATTGCAGACCTGTCAGCCACAACAGCAGCGTAGGCAGACCTTGCGCCTACACTGTGGTGCAAGACTAGCAGGAGCGGTGGCCAGGGATGGGGGCGTTGAAGTTTGGAAAAAGCAGGGTGTACGGTGTACATCGGAGATTCTGGTGGGCATTCCAAAGCATGATCACTTCTGTACTTCAGTTCAATGAGGGTGACTTCTGTTACTGATTTTCGGCTTCAAGCCCCAGGTATAGGTGAGGCGCTTCCGTTCCGCTCTTGTGAACGGTGCCAAAGTGGCTGTCTTTGCTACCTCGCCATC